AAAAAAAAAAAAAGAACTCTTCAGTGGCTCCTGATTGCTCCATCCACAGCCTGACACTCAAAGTGATCAGCACATGTTTGATGGATGAATGAATAAATGAAAGAATGAATATTACAAGAATAACATCGTGGCAGCACCTGTGGCACAGTGGGTAGGTCCCCAGCCCCATATGCCGAGGGTGTCAGGTTCCAACCCGGTCCAAGCCAAACTGCGACAAAAAAATAGCCAGGCATTGTGGTGGGCACCTATCGTCCAGCTACTTGGGAGGCTGAGGCAAGAGAATCACTTAAGCCCAAGAATTGGAGGTTGTTGTGAGCTGTGATGCCACAGCACTCTACCAAGGGCAACTTAGTGAGACTGTGTCTCAAAAAAAAAAAAAAAAAAAAAGAGGGCAGTGCCTGTGGCTCAGTGAGTAGGGCGCCAGCCCCATATATCGAGGGTGGTGGGTTCAAACCCTGCCCCTGCCAAACTGCAACAAAAAAAATAGCTGGGCGTTGTGGCAAGCACCTGTAGTCCCAGCTACTCATGAGGCTGAGGCAAAAGAATCCCCTAAGCCCAAGACCTGGAGGTTGCTGTGAGCTGTGACGCCACTGCACTCTACCAAGGGCAATAAAGTGAGACTCTATCTCTAAAAAAAAAGAAAGAAAAGAATAACATCATCTAGGTGTTACAAGACCTTGGTTCAAGTCCCAGCCCCACCATTAACAATTAGGTAACTTGGCTTTAGGCTCGGCACCTGTGGCTCAAGTGGCTAAGGTGCCAGCCACATACACCCAAGGTGGCGGGTTCGAATCCAGCCCGGGCCTGCCAAACAACAATGATGGCTGCAACTAAAAAATAGCCGGGTGTTGTGGCGGGCACCTGTGGTCCCAGCTACTCAGGAGGCTAAGGCAGGAGACTCGTTTGAACCCAGGAGTTGGAGGTTGCTATGAGCTGTGATGCCACAGCACTCTTCCCGGGGGGATAGCTTGAGGCTCCTGTCTCAAAAAAAAGTAACTTGGTTTTAGACAAGTTACTTAACTTCTATGAAACTCACATTCTTCATCAGCAAAACGCAGATAGTCATATTTACCTACTTACCTTACAAGGTTGTGATCAGTATACTAGTCAGGTAATATCAATAAAGGAATATTGTGGACTAGACAAATGGAAATGCCAGGATAAATCATTATAAAAGGTTTACAAATGCATATGGAGAATATACACTCAGCCCTAGATTTCTCCAAATGAAGATATTTTACATGTCTTTCCCTGTGAGGTTTAATGTGAGGCTTGGGGGAAGTGTGTGTGTGGAAGAGGGAAAGAAAAAGAAAAATTTTCAGAAAATATTTCTTCGGGAAAACCTTCCCTTACACTTGGACATGGTCTGGTGCCCCTATTTTATATAAACTGCTCTCATTGAGTGTGATTTCTTTCCTTCAATGAGAGTTTATCATTTCTTATTATTTTTTCTTAGTTATTTTTATGATTTCCTCATCAATGTCTGTTTTCCCCACTTGTCCTTGAGCTCCATGAGTGCAGAGATTTTGTCTATTTTGCTCATCATCTTTCTCCTAACACTGAGCTCATTGTGAGTACTCAGATAATATTCGTTACATAGGTGAGTGAGTGAATGAAATCCTTACCACAAAAACCTGGGTAGTACTTCCTCCAGGATAAACACTCTAAGCTTTCCTTCTGTACTATCACTGTTCTCCCCCACCCCATAATCAGCCCTCCTGAGAGCCTCAGCATAGGAGAAGAAGTAATGGTAAGCATGGTGTGGTGTGTGTAGGTGGATAACTCAGAATATAGCTTTGGACATTTACAGAACACCAGTCTCTTGTATTAATCTGGTGCCAAATAGATAACCTGCTGTGTCTGTGAGCTTTCTAACATCCCAAGCTAGAAATCTTATTTTATTCCTCCACACCACACAGTCCTGTCATGTTTTCTAGAAGTAGCATGATCATCAGAATATTTCTATTCAGATTCTATCTCTACCACTTACTAGTTAGGCTACCCTCCACCTCTTTGCATCCTCTGAATCAAATATCAAACCATAGGCCACAGCTTTCTCTTCTGTAAAGTAGAATACCCACCTCAGAAGGATGTTTATGAGGATCAAGCAAAGTCATATATATTAAAAAGCACATACAGGCTTGGTGTCCATAGCACAGTGGTTACAGCGCCAG